GGCCCCCAGCCGCTCTCGGCCGTCGGGTGACGCTAAGCTGACGGCCGTCACGTGACACGGAAGTGACTCTGAACAGGAAGAGGACGAAAAAAATAACCGTCCGCGACGCGGAGCTGAACCGGACTCTCAGCCACCATGAACAGCAAAGGTAAAGACGGGGGGCAGCTGCGGCCGGCGGAGGTAGGAGTGCTGGTCCGGAGCGAGCGGGTTTGGATCTCAGGGTCCCCAAACGCCAGGCTCGGGGTGGACTCCGTCGTGCTCCTCGGCCGGCTGCAGTCCTCGAGGCTGAGGCCCCCTTCGTCATCCCCGAGCTACGGCTGCTCGCTCCCTCCCAGCCCTTTCCCCCTTAAACTCTGTGGCGCAGTTTGGAGCTGCGGGTCCGGTGGTGGGGGGGCTCGTTATGATAGGCATTTGCGGGAGCAAATGGGGTGCCAGAGCAGGGATTTTGGCAGGCCAATGGAAAGCTAGCGGGGGCGGGGCGGGGCTCCGCGCTCAGGAACCTCAGACCGGGTCTCCAGCTTAACTACTGCGGTGCCGGCCTTCATGGACCGGCCGGGCCCTCAAGGTCTCATTTTCCTTTCCTTTGCATAGCAAGGCTAGAACTCCTTGATCGTACCAGGGTAGCTGTCAGAACATGATCCTCAACGTCTCTAGTGAGAGCATTTCCCTTCACCCCCTACCTTTTCCCAGGTCTCGGTTCACTTCCACCATCCACGGTATTTGGAAGTCGACCTTGAATGGGAAGGAACCTGTAAGGTTAATAGTCATAATAAGCACCCTTACCCACGAAGTCTGGGCTGGTTATAGCCAGTATGTGTAGACTATCCAGAGCAGGAGCACCTTTGATAGTCAGTAGACCAGAACCTCGAAAACGGACACCCAGACCTGTCCTGCATTCCGGAGGGGACTTGGGCCCAACTCTGCCTCCTTAAATCAGTATGCTGGTGGGAACAGTACCTTTTCTGTCGCCAGAATCCAGCACCTACCTTCCTGAGGCTGCAAAAACGCTTATTTTCTTGGCTCCAGGAAATGTGTTGTCAGGAATAATCTGCAAATTCTCTTTTACTTGCTCCCACAGAGTTAGCTACTCTACTTGTTTGGCCCCATTAGTGGGTCAGTATAGTAGGTAGTCTGCACTTTTTTTTCTTCTCTTCTAGGTCAGTATCCAACACAGCCAACCTACCCCGTGCAGCCTCCTGGGAATCCAGTGTACCCCCAGACCTTGCATCTTCCTCAGGCTCCACCCTATACTGATGCTCCACCTGCCTACTCAGAGGTATTTCCAGTTTGCCAAACTTGAACTAGATAAGAATACCCTTGGACTACATTTTCTGTCCTTAGCCAAGTCTGACTTCACATGTATATTTGTTTGTTTACTCTTCACAAATAGAAGAGAATAGAATGCTCACATGAATAATCTAAAATACTATATAATTCATCGATTTCTGTTGGGTTTAAGAGTGTATTATTTGATTACGTTATTTGGCATAGGCTGGGGTTAAAAAGATGAGTTTGTGTTCCTTGAGCATATTAGCTACAGCAGGAAGTGATCCAGGAGAATGTTGAAAGCCAGTGAAAAAGCAATTTGTATAATTTACAAAGGTATAATCTGTACAAAGAGAATTAAGAATAGACTCATTTGGGCATGTATATGTTCATACCCCAAATCTCCATAATATGGAGAAATGGAGACAGGATTGTGGTGTGACTATGCCCCATTGGGAGGTGCCTTCTCCTCTCCCTGTTTCTGTGTCTTGTCTCCCTGGCTTGAGCTCATGCCCTTTGACAATTAATAAATAATAATAATAATGGATTCATTAAAGAGTTCTCAAATAAGAATGTCATAAAGTAACATTTTGCTTCCTCTTCTGCCTTTTCTAGCTCTATCGCCCAAGCTTTGTGCATCCAGGGGCTGCTACAGTACCTACCATGTCAGCTGCATTTCCTGGCACCTCCCTGTATCTTCCTATGGCCCAGTCTGTGGCTGTTGGGCCTTTAGGTTCCACAATCCCGATGGCATATTATCCAGTTGGTCCCATCTATCCACCTG